CACACCTTAGTCTCAAGGGGGAAATAAATGCTTTGCTGACTTCAGAGACAGTGTATTTGTCCCTATTCACTACTGTGTTGGAAAAATATCTTTTACCAACAAAAAAAGGAGAATTCTATAAGTCATCTTCCAGCTCCAAGTAAAGTATAACTTGCAGCTCAGTAAAAACATCAACTGCATCCACTTGGTAAGACTAGGCCAACGGCTCCAAAAGCTCTGCTCCCTACCTCAGGGGATGCCTACATCACTACGGTATCTTTAGATTATTTCCCACAAGGACTGAAAACTTGTACAAGCATTCACCACGCACACCTTTGTCCTTCAATGTGCCAGGCCTTCGACTGAAGGGGCACCAGGAAGTTGGAGATGATCCCCACCACCCCTAGGAGCTGTCTACCTGGAAAGACGAGACTTTTGCCAACAGTGGTGACTGCAAAGTCACTCATGTGAGTGTGAGGGCACAAGAGGTAGTCCCCCTTACCTGGCTGCTGAACTGGCGGCCACTGGCTGGATCTTTAGCAGCAACTAATGAAACACACAACATTCCAAGTGAGTAATGCAACTTTAGTCTTGTTTTATAATTTCATAGCACCAGGCTCTATGGCTTGTGCCTTTGTTCCTTTTAATGACCACCTGTTTTCACCAGAGGCTAGTTTTGTTTTTTTTTAATGTTTCATATCCTTTTTTGTAGATCAATGATTCCCAAACCAAAGCCCTCAAGTTACAAGGGCACTTTCAACTGCAATCCAGCAGCCTCGAAGCTGTCTGATGCCGCACACTCTACCTGGACACGCAGGAGTCACATGGTGCCTGTAGTTACGATGACTAAACCACCTGGGTCGGAGACTGGGAATGCGCTATCTGAAAATCCTTTATCTGGCTCTTGAGCCTCACACCTTTCAACCAGTTAATCAACTCAGTGTGCTTTAACTTGAACAATATACCCAGATGATCTGCCAAAAGCTTAAGGATCATGTACAATGGAAAGAAATCACTGGGTGGTGCTAACCAAAAGGTTGGAGGTTTAAGTCTACCGAGAGGCACCTTGGAAAGGCCCGGCCATGGAAAACCCTACAGAGCAGTTCTACTCTGACACACAGGTCCCCATGACTCAGAAGTGACTCAACAGCAACTGTTTTTTGGTTTTATTTTTTTCTTAATGAGAAAGGAAGACTTTTGGATTGGAATGTCAATCAGATTAACCTTATGGTATATACAGCCAGATACTTCCCCAAAAACAACTGCAAATACTGATTTCACTTAGGAAAAAAAACATGGCATGGATTATCATTTATCAATTACCCACATATGAATTTTTCAACACAAATGTTGAATCGCACACACAATAGTCCTTACTTGCCACCTGGTGCATCTCCTCCATACACGCTCTTATGACTGATCGGTAGTTTTTACTCACTCGAACCAATCTGCAAAACAGTGAAATGACATACCAGATGAGCCTGGAACATCTTGTGGTGCCATAAAGTCAGCAAGGGCATGAAAAATGATAGGAGCTTGCTGAAAGAACTCAGAAGCCAACCTGAGGAGCTCCAAATGGCCTAAGCTGGAACCATGTGATCAACAAAATAAATGTGATATAAACACAGAATGAAATAAATATTCATGAATCTATACTGACTTAAATAGACTCTGGCTTAAATAAATGAGAAGAAGGGACAGCTCTTCCTTGAAGTAGAATTCCAATTAATACATGTAGAAATTAAGAGAACCAGAAAATCACCACAGGCAAATACCATCGAAATTACTACTGCAGATGAGATCCATGGGTGGACACTGAAATTAGTGGGTGGAAATTTTGAGGAGAAATAAGATTTGCATAGTTTCGAAGTATCTATCCCAAGATACTAACTATAAAGAGAAAGGTGGCAATGTTACAGTGGAGAATCCCAGCAAAAACCACCTTAGCCAAGTCAAGGTCAACATCACCAGTAACAAAACACTGCCGTCATGAACCCCGTGCTATACTGCACTGAGAAGGGCACACCATGTTTTCTGGTCTCTTGCCAAAGAAGGCCTTGAAAGCAATTCTTCCGAGACAAAACAGAACTGTCATTTTTATGTTAATTTCCA